CCATGTCAAATGATAAGTTTGGAGGAGTAGAGATAAAAACTAACCCAAAGGCAGGATCCATGGGTCTCTCAATAGCTCAAACTGTTGGTCACCCATCTTTTACAGCAAACCATTTTTTTTTGGTTTCAAAAGATGGGCAAATTATTCTGAACACTGACCATTCATACTATTATTAACTTAAGGGTCAGTTGGGCCTTTCTGTGCTCTCATGGATTGACTTTGTGACACATTCAGGCATAGGAGACTTATTCAAACAACGAGTGTTTCTTGACAAAGACTTGTGGTCCAAAACTATGATTCCTAAATTGAACTCATTTTATTTCAACCATGCTCCGGATTTTTTCTTGTTAAATGGACCTAAGACTTATTAACATTGAAGAAATGTTCTTGTACAATGAATTTAGTTCACATGAACTGACCTCAAATAAACTCAGTAACCTTTAAAATGTCAAAATTAGACTGAAAGAATAGGGTTTTGAAGATTGACAATTAATGATACGACAGTCCACAACTGATTTATGCACCCATGCATAGACAATGGTACTACTTGATCAAATATGAGCCATGCCTTCACCCGTTTGATTGATCTTTCCATGTGGATCCTCACATTAGCAATGCTCATAGTCTCAAAGCATTCGTCCTTTGTGAATTGATCCTGCACTGACTGTCTTTTGGGCAGAATATACAAACTTGCACCCTTCAAGGCCATGAGATCGTGTACATCAAGTCCTTTGTCAGCAAGGTATTTATCCCCAGCCTCCACAAGACTACAGAAGTCACTCTTTTCCACAACTTCTCTGTCACTTATGCGGCCAGGATACAGGTGGCTGACAAAAGTCACCCAACAGTTGGGGTGATGCAAATAAAGCCTTTATATGTATTGTGGGATTTGTAATCAGAGTACATTTCAGAACGTGTTTGATAGTCGTTTGGCATGTCACACTTAATCTCTGTGCAGTCAAGAATACCTCGGATATCTTGATACTGGCCTTTAAATCCCTCAGGCAGATACTTCTTGATCTTATCCTTGGAAACCCATATTGGCCGGCTTCCCAGTATGATGTACAGCTAGTTTACCCGTGTCACTAAAATATCAGAAACTGTAGCTACAGAAACGCCATACCTGTGTGCCAGATTCCTTTCAAATAAACCTAATCTAATTCTGGTCAAAAACATCCATAGTTTATCTATTGGATCAATATTATGGCTCCTTTCCCTTTCTTTGTCTACTTCATGTAGATATGGAAATATAGCAGTAAAGTTCTCTTCGCTTTTGCTTCGAGCAAAATTCGAACTAATTAAAGACTCTGCACAGGGTTTAACATACTCCCAGAATGCCATTAGAGTATTGTAATTTGGAAAACCCACATAAATGAAAATATCATCATCATCACTATTCTTAAATCTTTCTATACCAAACTTGGAAAGTAACAGTTGGCGTTTTAAATCTGCAACGACCTCTGCGAAATCTTCATTTTGATGCTCGTTTTCAATTTTTACTTTCCTGGTTTCCAGTGGATCACCTTTATTCTCTGAACATACAACCGAGTATGTGATTGTTGATTTCGTCTCTCTTGTATCGGATCACTTTGCCCTTTCAATCTAATGACTTGATGCTTTGGTCCACTGAAACCGTGATGGAGTAGCAGTTAGCAAAAGATCTTTCCTTTCCCAGTTAAACTGCACTTGTAGTCTGTAGAAACAAAATGTTTGTAGCAGCAAAACAGAGACGTGTTCAATTTAAACTTGCTGTCAGATCGTTTCATTTTCACTGCCCATTCCATCCTACATTGAGAATCTTTCGGAAATGCATGGAACGTGAGGTCTTCTTTTATCCAACCTATTAGTACATAGTGCTGCAGCACAACATTTATGCAAGGTCTTTTATGCAGCACTATTTGATCTTGCACTTTCTGACATAGCATCTGCCATAATTACTCGTGCCAACTGGAGGGCCCTTAGGCCTCGCTTTCATGTAACTTTGGGCTTATGATGTAAGTAAGTGTGTATTCAAGGTTACGTCCTTGGTCAGTGTGAATTTGCAAGGGAACACCAGACCTGGAAATAACTACAGTGGGCAAGAGATGTGCTACAGTAGCTGCTGATTGTTCAGGCATGGCAAGTGCCTCTGCTCATTTCAAGAAATAATCCATAACCGCCAAAATGTACCGATTTCCTTGTTCTGTTTCCGGCAGAGGTGCCAAGACATCAATGGTGAGCCTCTCAAGGGGTGCCCCCACATTGTAAACTTGTAGTGGGGCTTGAAACTTTTTCTGCAGCTTTCTTCGAGATGAGCACTTAAGGCAGTTTCACCACCACACCTTTACATCGTGGCTGCTTCCACACCAGTAGTAATGCTGCTTGACATGATGCAGGGTCTTCATCAATCCCAGATGTCCAGCTGTCACTGAGTCATGCAGAGACAACACCACTTTCTCTTGAAGACTCTTAGGAATTACTAATGTTAAGCTTTGCTGTTGTCGGAGACGTGTGAAGTCCCACTTGCAGTACAGAACTCCTTCCTTCAGGGTAAGTCTCTCAAACTGTGCCCAATAGCCCTTAAGCTCTGAAGAAAGAGAAGAAATCTGCTCCCACTTAGGTCGCCCCTGTCCAGATTCCAGCCAGCTTATTACGGGTGATAAAATGGGGTCGCATCATTGCTCATTTTGTAGTCCATCTATCCATATGTCCATCTCTTGAGAGGAACCTGCTCCTAAAGTACATTCTCGACTTCCACTCTTTGTAACTGCACCACAGAACAGAGAACGAATCATCCTCAGGTTTCTGGCCTGCCTCAATTCTGTCACAAATCCACACTCCCCACAACTGCATGGTTGTCTTGACAGTGCATCTGCATTCCCATGCTTGGCTCCTGGACGATACACTACTTCATAATCATAAGTACCCAAGATTTCTAACCATGATGTCATTTGCCCTTCCAAATCCTTGAAGCTCATCAGCCACTGCAAAGCTCCCTGATCAGTTCGGACAGTGAATTTCCTTCCATACAAGTAATGGTGGAAATGGGGTATCCCATCTACCACAGCAAGCAACTCGCGACGTGTGACACAATAATTTCATTCCGCTCTTCTCAATGCTCTGCTGAAATATGAAATTACTTTTTCAGTGCTATTTTGAACTTGTGAAAGGACAGCTCCGATTGCCACCCTACTTGTGTTCGTGTCCAGGATAAACATGTCATCAAGGGTTGGGTATGCCAGGAATGGAATTGAGGCAAAAATCTCCTTTAAAGTGTATAAAGCCTTATCACAGGCCTCAGTCCATAGGAATTCCTTTCCACTTTCAGTCAACTCGTGTAGTGGCTTAGCAATGTGGGCATATTCATAGATGAAGCAGTGATAATAGGACGTCAGGCCAAGATAACTGCTAACTTCTGCGACTGAGCTTGGAACTGGTCAGGCACTGACAGCCTTTGTCTTACTGGGGTCAGTAATCACTCCATCTCCACTTACGACGTGGCCTAAAAAGGTAACCTTCCTCTGGAGCAAAACATATTTCTTTAGGCTGAGCTTTAGGTTAGCAGATCATAGCCGTTCAAAAACGAGTCGTAGGTGGCTCATGCCCTGTTCAAATGACTGAGCATGCACAATGACATCATCCAAGAAAATTAGTAATACTTGCCAAGGTAAGCCCAGAAACACCCTCTCCATCATCTTCTCAAATGTGGCCAGAGCATTGTAAAGATCAAAGGGCATCACATTGAACTGATACAGGCCAGAACCCGTGGAAATTGCTGTCTTCTCATTATCCTTTTCTGCCATCTCTACCTGCCAATAATCACTAGCTAAATCCAATTGTTGGAAAGTAGTTAAGATCCACTGGACAGCTCAATTTCAACCCTTTAATTTTCTTACAACTCGGGACTGTACTAACAACAACGCAAACACAAGCAAGGATCAATTTCAAGACAGAAGCACAAGGTCTCGCATGGCCCGTAAGGCTTAGCACGCATAAATGCGTCACGTCCAATCATTCTAACAAATGTCACGCTCACAAGAGTTCCCCACCTGTTGACCAGCCGAGTTGCATTAAACAAACTTGACTGTAAGACTGATCAACACTAAGAAAAACACTAGAAATTACTGTCCAAAGTTAATTTGTCCACAACTTAGATTAGTTCCTTAATCAATGCTCTTCCCCTGTTCTCTGCGTCTACAGCAGCTTGTCTTCTTGGATTTCTTCTTGGTCGTACAACCACAGGGTCTGGATTTGAATCCATACGGACCCATACACCAACACTGTCATCTCCACCATGAATCTCCAAAGGGTACAGGCACTGGAGTGGGCGCCTTAAGGTGCTAGATTTATTTCCTCTGGACTTCACTCTAATGATTGCACCTCTGACCAGTCCATCTGCTCCAGTCACCAAACTTTCCGCTCGCGCTAACTTCCATAAACCTCTGGGCAGATCGTCATCGTGTACTACTACCATGTCTCTCCTATAGCTACAGGTGTTGGTGCAGCATTCTTTGCAGAATGACGGTGTGAATTCCTGAGCTCAATCACGTATTCTCTCCACCTACGCCAGAAATGGTCCATCACATTACTGAGATGCTTCATTCTCTTGCTTAATTGCGTCGATGACAGCTCAAAGTTGGGATCCATCAAGTCACCAGTGCAAGTATCAAGCAAACTCATCGATCTCCTGCCATGAAGTAAATGTGACAGTGTCAGTGGCTCTTCAGCATCCGCAGAGGTTACATAGGATGACAGTCAACAGCTCCTTGTATGTGAGCCTAGCACCTCTAATTGTCTTCTTTATATACTGTTTCACTGACCTCACCACTCTCTCAAACAAACTTCCCCACCATGGGGCCTTCTCCAGGTGAAAGATCCATTCGACTTTCTTCTCTGCAAGGTACTGTCTTACAACTGGACTCTTCATCGAGTCTGCTATCTGCCTGGAAGCAGATTTAAAGGTACTTCCATTGTACGAGACAATCTTTAATGGCAATCCTCTCCTGGCTGTAAATCTACGAAAACTTCTAAGGAAGGCTTCTGCTGTTAGGTCTGGAACTATGTCAAGGTGAACTGCCCTTGTAACAGGAGGTATACAGGCTAATCCACACCTTTTTTCCTGTCTTCTTACTGACTCCCTTAATGTACAATGGGCCTGCGTAGTCTAAGCCAGTTAAGGTAAAGGCCGGTGCAGTCTTTACTCTAATTTCAGGTAAGAATTGTGGTGGTTCTTGATAAGGTTTTCCCTCATGTCAGTGACATGTTACACAGCTATGTAGTAATTTCTTCACAACCTGTCTTCCTCTTGCCAGTCAAAACTCGGATCGCAACTCTGTCAAAGTTTCCTTCACTCCATTATGCACTCCCATGACAATTTCTGATAGCCAACATTGTAAACCCATGATTTGCATCAAGGAGGATGAGATGCTTGGCCGAGTAAGGAAGGTCTGCGTGCGACAGCCTGCCTCCACACCTCAGAATGCTAACACAATCAGTAAAGAGATTAAACTCCTGCCTCCAGTTCTCAAATTTCTTATTCAGCTGCAAGGATTTCTGTACATCCAGGATCCAATACTGTTCTGCTACCTCCATGTCCTTTGCCCCAATTTCAGAACTAATTAGTAACTGTTCATTGTCTGGTGATAATCTTGCCTATAGGTTCTTAAGAAATCGCAAGACATAGACTGTAACACGTGGTAGTCGCTGAAGATTGCTGAACCGGCTAATGTCAATGACACAGCTAATGCTGGAGTCATTAGTGTTCACAAGAAGAGTGGAAGATTTCAGGTTCCCTCAATTTTTCACTGTCATTTCCGTGAAACATTCTTCAGGAATGCGCTTTGTGATGACAATGCTCTTCAACTCTTCCTCACGATGGCTCAGCCACTCCGGACCCATTACCCAGAGTGTGTTTTCTGCGAGCTGAGATGAATTCGTACCTCTTGATGGGACATCTGCAGGATTGCTGTCAGTGGGGCAGTACCTCCAGCTCTCCACTGGGAGAAGGCTTCTAATTTCTTTGACTCTGTTTTGTACAGACAGTTTCCATTCTTTGTCTATGCCTCTTATCCAGCAAAGTGCTACTTCAGAGTCACTCCAACAGGTAATCTTCTTGACAAGAACTTCACATTTCAGAGCCCCCTCAACGGCTGTGACTAATCTCGCAAGTATGACTGCTGCTAAAAGTTCCAATCTGGGGATTGTTTGGCTACTCAGTGGGGCTACTCTTGTCTTGGATGCGACAAACTTCAGAGAGGCTGTATCAACTTGGAGGTAGACAACTGCACCATATGCCTTTAAGGAAGCATCACAAAATCTGTGAAGATTGCAGCAGACAATTTCATTCTGTGGTTCCTTGAAATAGCATCTCAAGACGAAGGGGCTGAGAATTCTGAAGACTTGCAACCAGCTTATCCCACTTCATTCTTAATTGGCCTTCCAGTGTGTTGTCCCAGTCGGCTCTGCTC